AAAGGTGCACATGTAAGAATAAGACTATGCGGGAGCTTAGGTGCCCAAGCCAAAAATTTATATTCTCAAAATTCCTGCTTAACTGTTGAGATTTTCCTTTCCCCTTTGACGCCGTACTTCTGATGTATTAGACAATGGCAGCCATGCTGTAAGACCTTCCAGGATTTACGAATTAAGACTTCCACAGCTAAGGAATCTGAGTCAGAAGGTATCTTCACACTTGACAGACAGGAATCCACAGAGTACAAAGGAGATGTTGGGGATGAGTGCAAAGCCAGCAGGATTCTATCCTTGCTCCACAATCTATTAATAAAAGTGTAATACTCGCTGCAAGACAGGTCTTCCCTTTCCAATCTAATAGGCTAATGGTCATTATTACTATGTCTCAACAAGACAAATGGCAGACTAAGTAATTAAAATAAAAATGTTTAATCAGGATTGACTGAGAACCTCCAGTGATCAGGTCAGTCTTGAAGGAGTGTTCAGACCAATTCAGTGAAAGGAAGGAGCAAAAATGGATTTGAGCTGAGTTTCACGAGTACTCCAACTATTCAGAAATTAGATCGACCAAATCAGTGAAGCATACCCTCTTCATTTTTTCAACAAAGGACTGATTTCAAGCCAGGTATGAAAAAATATGTAAGAACCCAAAATGAATTCGCTTTGTGAACCCAAACTGATGAAAGGAATTCCCTTCAGCAGAAGGTGGATAAAAAGAGCCCCAAAGCACGTCCATGTCTTCATTTATGAACTGATTAAATAGATAGAACCCTTCTCATTATGCTGTCTTTTGTGGACCCAAACTTTTTTCAAATACTATGTATAGACAGCCTAGGAATCATAAATGGACGTTACGATCTCTGTAAGTGATTAGGGTATAGAACTGGCTGAAACAAGCCAGAACAGAAAGATCTGTGGAGTTGCTCACAAACATATCAGAAATGACTGTGCTGAACTTAAACACTGCAGCCTGAACACACTATACAAACCATTGCTTCTATCCATCCTTACAAGACCCACTACATTTTAGAAGCATGGTTCTTGGCTCTCTCCTCCTTTCACCACTACTTTGAAGAGGAGGCTGGCCAAAATAACATATCCAAAACAATATTCAATGTTAATCTTTTTTCTTTTTTTTTTTTGGATCAGTCCTGAGTGGTCACTATCTGTGAATGCTTACATACGTTTATGTAAATAGTTCAGCTACATATGAGCTTTGGAGAGAACAGTTCTGGCAGTATGGACTTATTACATAAAACAAAACAAAACTAAACTAAACAAAACACAGAGTCAAACACAAGCACATATATGCATTAGTAACATTTATATGTAACGAAAACACAACCTTCAAAACTCTGTCCTTATAATTTAAATTTTAAACTTCGTCTTTCTAAACTACATGAAAGAGAAGCTTTTTAAAGAATCTGTACAACTGGCATCAGATTTTTGAACATGCTAGAAAGAATTGAGCCAAAGATGATATCAGAAAGTCCCTTATGCTTAAATGAAAATGTTAAATCAATTAGCAATTGCTAGAATAAAGAAGCAACTATTTGCTGTATGTTCCCTACAAAAAAAAAAAATCAAAATCAAAATCTTCATGTTCTTTTGAAAATGATTATATTATGCAACATGAAAACTGCAACACATTCTCACCTCTTTAATGTTATAAAAGCTTTATTTGCATACACTTTAGAAATTATAATCAAAGAGTAGTAGTCACTAACGAGAACTTTGAAGAGTCTACAAACATACATATACAGAGTATGCCTTTCAGGGTTAATGTATTATTTTGAACTGGAGTATTGCAATAGGGCTTAGCTTTGACACAGAATGTTCACACCCTCTATAATAAATTCTTTTAACATATTTCATATTTCTTCCCATGTGAATGACTGTCCTTGGAAGAATTATCTACTAGATAAAATTTGAAGATGAAATCTAAGTCTAGACTTAGAAAAAGGAGGAGGGGGGAGTGGAGACTGATCTTATAATCTATGACAGTTGTTGATTAATGAGCTGCTCATGATTGCTGTAGGCCTGTCCAAACTACAGAAGCAAATGGTTCTATAGGGTTGGGAGGAATGTGCTATCTGGTATGCCACACCTTTGTTTAAAGTTAGAAATCACTGTGACTTCTGCTACATTTATTCTAGCCTTGAACTACCAGATGTGCATGATGAAATATACGGTAACAGGCATGGATGTCCTAGCTACTTGACTGCTGTTCCTACAAAAGAATTTCTGTATTACAGAACTTCCACGCTGCAAGTATTGCCACTTGGAACAGTCACAGCACATACTTTACGGGGTTCAAGGTTTTGCTGGTAGTGCTCTTGCACAAATAAATTCCAGACTTCCTGGAGTACAACAGTACTACCACATCCTGGAGAGACTTGGTCTTATCTGACAGTCTGAAAAATTGTATTTGTATGTAAACCTATGTGCACACATACACATATATATGCATGCATACAACATGCCAATATATACACATATATATTATAACGCATAATAAATACATTGTATAAACACAGTGCATTCTGCCGAACTAAGTGAACTTATACTAAACTTCATTCCAAGGCTGAAACTGAACATGATTAGAATCTATAATAAAAAGGTATCTTAGCAAATCTTTGGTGATAAAATGATTATATGTAACCAAATCTCTCAAAAAAACCCTTTTGTTATAACTTCTAAAACTATTTTAACTTCAGTTATAAAACATCAGTGTTCTTAAGGTGAAAAAAAAAAATGTTGTACAAAAACAACATACAAATTATTAGAGGGGCACCCTGACCCCTGTTACTTGAGTTCCAGACTGAGACAAAATGAAAGCCAACAGAAAAAAGGGCATAGACATAAAAACTAGTATTTATAAGCCCTCAAATCACATAAAAAGAATTAAAGAAATTTAATTACCATTAGCTGTAGGTATGTCTTCTGTTGGCTTATCTGTTTGCAATTATTCTTTTTTTTTTTTTTTCTCATTTTTGGAGATGGTTGTCTTTCTAGAATTGTGCAGAAAAAGAACATCTTAAAATAACCACATTGTCATTATCACACAGTAAGTACATTAACTGTACAATCTTAGACAATGAAGCCCTATGAATTTTCAGTAGTGCCACTAGGTGTAATATGTGTAAAATCCCACAATTGAGAGATAGAAGCACATCTTGTCCAATTTACACCAAAAAAATACCAGTCGTATTCAATTTATTTATATTTTTATTGTAAATCATCTCTCTAACCTCAGTAGACATGTTTTCAGGGATTTGCTTACCTACAAAAGCAATGATACAAAAAATAAGTTGGTGATAAATTAAGATGTTTCAATTACTTTTTTCACTGTGCTTCTATTGGTTTTGTTACTGTGAAGTGGCACTAATACTACACCTTACATTACACCCTAAATTTCCCAAAGCCAAATTCAAGCTAGCATGATATTCTGCCCTCTCTTTTGTTGAAGAGACTGCTTAGTTTTTGTTACATTCAACAAATCTGATTATGATTAAATGCATCATAAAACAATGACCAAAGAAAAATATGAAACAGCTGCAAATGATACATCCTGGTGTTTACTGTTTTGAATGCAGCTGGTTAAAAGCAGTTCTAAAAAAGCACAGATATGAACCCTGAAGTAAGACTATGAGTAATTCTGAATAGACTGACAGGTTTTCAACAACTATTTGGCACAAATGGCTCCGCAATCTCATAGAAACGTTCCACAGAACGACATCCTCCAAGTGCTCTTAAGTGCATTATTACACAATCTCAGAATAAATAAAACATGGAATTTCTTTTCAGCAGGTGAGATACTCAAAGACACCAAAGTAACTGAAGTAATTCAGAAAATTCTGAAAACTTTAACCAGAAATTTATTAAACTGGAGAGAATGCAGAGCTACTTCAATATTAACACAGGGGAAAACAAAAACAAACAAACAAAATAAAAACCCAACGAACAATAAATGCTTTCCTAGATTAAAGCCTGAAGGCTAAAATGACATGGGTCATATAAATTGGCATATTAATTTCTGGAAGGATTTCTGGGTTATTTATTAAGTTGCACTTGCACTTACACTGCCAGGAGGCTCAAGGTAACTGACCTACCTGAACTATCACTTTTCAATATTCATCTCAGTATTAAAGTGCAGAAGATCTCACTACCCACTGGAGCTCAGCAGAAGCAGGAGAAAAAGCTGCTTATGCCTAGAGACCATGAAATAACCTTTCAGGAAACCAGCAGGGACCTGGGGGTCATCTACCCATGAGGTACTGTGCAGAAAATCATGGCTTTACCAGGAATTGAAAGAGCTGATCCTAAGCACTTGAAGGAGGATTTGCTAGATCAAAACTTTCATAAGAAAAAGTCAGGCTATATAAGAACATTTCTGTTACAAATCACTCTCTCCTGGAAGCAGAATTCTAATATTGCTATTAATTATGAGCAATGAAGTCATCTTAATGCTGGTTACTTAATAAAAGAGACAGTAAGTGTTTAACACATCTATTGCTAAAATATTGTTCCTTTAGAACTATTCCAATATCACTAGATAGTACCTTTAGAAATTGTGCTATTGATACTCACTTTGAAATAACATTCAAACTCTTGACTTCAAAGAAGGGACTCAAATTGCTACAATCTGACAATATCTCCTCCTGAGAAAAGGAATGGAGAGACCACTGTGACAGCAAAATTATTTTCTGAGATCAAAACTACTAGTTAAAGGCACAAAACTACACAGTCTTGTGCCACAGTATTTCAAGTTATTAGACTTTTTTAAATAGACATTGACAGAAGCTACTGAATCAGGGCTTGTTAGAAAAACAGAGGCAGCTTAATAAGCAGACTGTATATCAAAGTTATGAAACACAAACCAGTCAGCATAGACTTAATATTTTTTTATCCCATTAACATAATTATTTCCTACTCAGTAAAAATGAAAATGACATGTTAGCATTTCAAAAACAGGAGAAAATGACCCTCTAGGCTTTATATGACTATCAAAACAAGCACCGGTACTTTATTTGCAAATTATCATGCATGAAATGATCGACTCAGCAAGTTTACCAGTCAACAAAGTGTGTGCTCTACCAGTTATAATCAATTTACATGTAATGATATGTCTAAATATGAATTTAAATGAGTTCCTGTCATTTCATGTTCAATAGCTGCTTTATCATCATACATATGGACACTGACCATAGTTAATGTTGCAGAAACAGCAGAGCATGCACAAGTTTCATAAGCCAATGGTAACCGAATACGAAGAAATTTGTTTTAATGTAAAAGATAGCCTCTGACTGCTAAGGCATGTTTATTTTCCAGTCAAGTTAACAAAAATAATTTCTAAGAGGTTGTTTTCAAGCATTTGTTGTATATGCCACAACTACATCAAATATACAATATGAATCACAACAGCATTCTCACCTTATAACCTACTGGATTTCTCTTTCAAAATATGAAAAGAACCCTGAGGCCACCACAGAATAAAGAACATTTCATTATCATCCCCATTGCATATAAATATACATTATTTAGACCCTGCAAAAAGGACATTCTAGGGATGAAGAGAATTCTAGTTTCTTTAACAGCATATCAGACACATCCCTGCGCAAAATATTTTAATACAATCATCACAAATTTAAAATAACCAGGGCAAGTGAAATCAAATTCCATAACAGCGGACAGTACTGATCAGATGGCATTTTGGAAGAATGCAAGACAAAGCCAAGTGTAACACACAAAAATGCATTATTAAAGGCTGGCCTCTAAGATGTCTTCATTTAATACAATTAAATGAATATAATAAGAATGACTTCATCAAAAGGACACCATTATGTATTACTCTCAAAGTTACTTTCGTTTTACTTGGAATAGTGTAAGTCAGACAAATAAAGCTTAATATTTCCCAAACAACAATCCTTTTCATCTCCCTTAACTTTATTTATAATGTACATATGCAGGTAGAATTCTCAAATGCAATTTTACTGGTATACAGAATCATTTAAATGCATATTTGGTGCAATTTCTTTTTTTTTTGGTGTTCAGAAGTCACTTTTATTTTGATAAAATGATACAGCAAATTTATACTTAACATCACACATAGATTTTGACTATATAAAGAATTTATAGAGCTTTTTAATTGTGGAATGGTAAATTTCATACATATGAAATTTTAAAAATGCTGCATGAAATTGTGACCTTGCCAGTACACAGATCGGCCTTCAGAAACTGTAATGAGCATGAATGGACACACATTTCTATCTGGGCCCAGTACAAGTATGGACACATTGAAAATGTAGTAACATCAGTATGATTTGCTTTTACTTTGGTGGTTGTGATATTCTAGGCTCAGATGCAAAGTGCACCTTAATGGTCCTCATATCTGTACATATACCCCATTGTAGTTTAAAGGCATCAGCTTCTTTTATTCTCCCTTGTAGCGAGGAGGTCTTTTCTCTTTAAATGCAAGAAGACCTTCAATTCTATCCTTGGTTGGAATAGTCTGCAAAGGGTAATATGTAACATTTCATTATTGATACAAAAAAAAATACCAACAAAAATATTTTTGTACATATCCCCTTTCTTTAATATAAAATAAAACATAACAGCAAAATGAAAAGTGCAACATATAGTCAGATACGTGAAAGTACCAGTCATTTCATAGGCACAAAAGGAGGCAGAGAAAAAGCTTAGGAGAAGAAGGAGTATCTTTTCTCAGAACAGATGAGAGTGAGAATGAATCTCTCTAGGGTTTGTTTTGGGGTTTTGATGTGTTTGTTGTTATTATTCTGTTTTTGATTTTCTGTTTGTTACCTGGTTAGCACATATACTGTTAAGTTGCACATACTTGTGAAGTGTCCTATATGTTATTTTATGCTAAACCAAAAGAAAACAATAGCAAAGCAGTTCTTGGACTAGGTGCATGCATAGCAGTGTATGACTGATGAGGTATAGGGCTGGCAGTGCTTCATGTAGTGTCCTACACCTCATTCCTTAAATTCCTTATAGAAACAGAGTACGTAGAAGGAAGGCCTAGATCCAATGACAAAATGTTTGTAGAAGGAACCATAAAGCAATTTCTACTTGTATTTCTGCATGTGCCTCACAACATGCTCCAGCAAAGCCTCTTTTCTACATTTTTTTATTTAATCATGGTTACATACCTGAGCGTAACAAGCTTCTTCAATTGCTAAGCCTGTTACTAAGTCGACCTGAGAAAAAGAATTCAACATTTTAAAAAGCATATTTTTGTACATTTCATATACATTATTTCTTGACAGCTAGCTGTTTTTTCCATGTGCCAAATACTAAAACAGTTTACTTTAATGTTCTTCTATGGTACATTAACAAAGAAATACCTCGCTGCCATGTGGTGAGAGAGATTAGTGTTTCTGTAACAGTTTCTGTATTTGGTGATACAATTAGTATGTAATACACTGTCAAAACAATGTATGTTCTTCACTGTACATTTGTAATCATTTCAACTACTGCAAGGGAAAAGATTTACTGCATGATTATTTAAAATTTGTTCTGAAATAAATATATTCAAAAAATTCTGTAAGAAAATAATATACTAAAAAGTAAACATGGATTCAATTTTAAATGGATTTTAAAAAGTAAATTAGGCCAGTGGCAATTCTGCACTGTCATCTAGTTTTGTGAGTTGGTCTGAAAAGCTGTCCTGGCTTTAGCTGGGATAGAGTTGCTTTTCCTTATAGTAGCTGCTATGATGCTGTGATTTTGATTTATGATGAGAATGATGCTGGTAACACACTGATGTTTTGCTTGCTGCAGAGCAGCCAAGAAATTTTCAGCTCCTCACACTGCCCTACCAGCAAGGAGGCTGGAGGTGCACCAGGAGCTGGGAGGGGACAGACCCCAGCTGGCCAGAGGCATCCAATGTTGATTTTTCTCTTGGGGCTGCTGTGCTTGTTCTCAGAGTTGTGCTGTGTAACACCTTACTTGCGGTCTGTGCTCCCTGTTGTGCTGTTTGTCACCTCTGGGGGCTGGTTTGAGGTTATCATTTTGCTGTACTGTGCAACACTGGCTTATGATACAATAAAATTACTGGTCAGAGCAATTGCATTGTGCATCACTTGTGTTGTGTATATAGTAGTAGTAGTAGTAGTATTTTCTCTTCTTTTTCTGTCCTATTAAACTGTCTTTATCTCAACCCATGAGTTTTACCATTTTTCTGATTTTCTCCCCTATCCCACTGGAAGGGAGTGAGCGAGTGTGGTGCTTAGCTGCCTGCTGGGCTAAACTACAACAACAGCTGAAATGACTGTTCTCCTGAAGTGACTGAAATCATTTTCTCACCAGTATCTCTCTGCCTTTCTAGTGTCAGCTGCAACAGAATTACCAGCTCTCCACAAAAGGCTAGGGAAAAGGTTGTGGCTATGCACCACAAGTAGATTGTTAAGAGAAGATAAGCAACAGGGTAGATTACCACGGGAAGCCATGAAATCAGGAAATAGTAATCAGAACCAAATATGAAACTGGACTCCAGATATAATTTTAACACTAGCCTCTATTAAACTATTTAAAAAAATAGCATGCCTTTTGGCCTTTATTAATTACTAAATACCGAAAGCCTTGATAGACTTCACAGAGTATGACTTTGGTGATGTTTTTCTTTCCAGCACTTGCAATATAAGTTGTTCATAGCAGTGTGTGTTTATTTTCTCCTATCAGTAAATAGCTGAGTGCATTACACCTAGACAGATGTAGGATTCCTACACCTTGTTATGGAAATCAACATCATTCCTAGTCTCAACAGTATGAACTCAAAAAACACAGACATTAAAAAAATGCATTTAATCTTCAAAAAGGTTTTGACCAAATAGACTTTTAAAGAGTAAGAAACACTGAGAAACTAAACACAGTTCTAGAAAGAAAAAAAAAAAAAAAATCACCATGGTAAACCTGTTGCCAGCCTGACTTATTTTTATGGGAAGTACAGATCCTTACCTCCATTCCCTGATTGATGGCCAGCTTTGCAACTCTCATTGCTACTGGTCCCTGAAATGAAAGACAAAGCTTATTTACATATCACTAAATTCTAAAAGATTATGCAATAAAGAGTCAGCACATCAATGTTCTTATACTGGGACCTTTTAGAGTTTGGACGTGTATTAGATAGATACAAAACAGGTCAGTTTATATATTTACAGTAGCTATATTCTAACAAAATGATATTTTCAACATTGAGAAAAAATGAAAGAATCATATAATTTTCAGTATAGAGAACTGAAAGCAGTGTTCTGCATTTCTGTTTCTAAGGTGCTGAGCATATCCACTTTTGTCAAGATTGCTCAATTCCTTTCAAAACAAGGTTCAGAATGACCACCATAACAGGGCATCATTATAGGACTTTATAGATCAATCTAATTATGTCCTTATTATCACACAATGAAGAAACATAAAAAGATTAAACCAATTCAAATGGACCCATACAGCTTCAAACCTAAAATGTGCTTCTGCAAAGCCTGCAGTGGTCAGGTAATGACACTCTTCCATGAGCAGCTGAGTTCAGTAGCAAACAGGAGTTCCACCTTGGTCCTCCACAAGGAGGCATCTTTGGGAATCATCTCAGTCCTATGCCTATCATTGGCATCAGCTTCTGAATGGTAAGAGATTGCTTTGAAGAAGCGGCCTACTGTTTTGGGTAAGTCAAATGCAGTCTCTCAGTGGTGACATGGCACTGCCCTTGCATGAGTTGACAGGGCCTCAGAGCTCTCCATATGCTTTTGAACTGGTTCCAGTGCAAAGCTGTAACTATAAATCAGCCTTCCAGAACCACTGTATGCTAAAAACTTTAGCATATTTTTCAAGTTTGTCTTTCTATGAGGGTTTTCAAAACAATCATTTTACACATCATATTTAATCCATTTTCTATTTTGAATGCAAAGATTTTGCTGTTAAGCTTGTGATATGATACAGTGGTTTACTCATTTTGTTTAATACTACCACCTATGAATTTGCTACCTGGGGTACTTTAGTTAAAAAACAAGTTTGATGATCTCCAAACTCACATTTCTTCTCTGAACAAACAGCCTGCACTCTATGCCAGTAACAGAACAGGTAGCAATCAGCTAACACAAAGACTCCTGTAAGGGTCATAATTAAATTTCTCACTAATTTTTTTAGGTTCTAAAGCACAAAAATTCAGTAAATCCTATTTCAAGTCTTTTAGTAAAAGACGGAGATAAGATGTCATGTAGAATAAAAGACACAAGAGCATGATTCATTCATCAAACTTATACACAAAGGACAGAAATCAAACAGATCACTTTCCAGTAGTAAATGGGTTTTGCTTTAATACTGATATTACATTTAGTTTTATTTTTTCAAAACAAGAGCTATGCTGAAATACATTCACTTTCATAAGGACTTTTTTGTATCTCTTCCGAAGTGTTCAACAGCAACAGAATAAGCTATTGAGACAAACAATTTACTAAAAAAAAAAGAAAAAAACAAAGAAAAAAACAACCCTTACACCATTTATTAGTGTTTAACATGTGAAAACCAAAATATACAATGGAAACACAGACCACAGCGCTATGATACATGGATTGACAAAGCGTATTTGCTTTACTGGGAAATATTTACCAAATAACACTTGATCCATGAGAAAAATTTCCATTGCTCTCCACATAGCTACGTAACTTCGTGGCAATTATAACCAGAACACAGCTGAGTCTCTTTCAGGCTTAATATTTGGTAACAACTATTAAGTTAAATAGCAAAATAATTAGTTATACCTGAGGTAAAAATTCTCTTGCCAGAGCTAGTGCTCTTCTGTATGCGGCATCCCCTGCTTCGTTCTGTTCTACCACATGGCTAATCAATCCTATTGATTTTGCTTCCTCACCATCTACAATGCGTGCAGAGAAGATTAGTTCTTTAGCCAAAGATACTCCAATAGTGCGGGGTAATCTCTGTGTCCCCCCTAAAATTTGGAAAAAGAGAAAATGCAAGTATTAGTTTCACATCCCTTTATCCCACAAGTGTAGATGCCTTATTCAGTTCAAATATTTTCAATTCCATAAACATTTATATGAAAATATAGAAATTACATTAGACAGTCCAAAGTGCCTTTTTCAGTTTTGAAACTAAATCTAAAAGGAAATCAATTGTTCTGTTTCTTAGAAAGACATGAAAATAGCTGAAAAGAGCTAACAGTAATAGAAATTCTGTTTGACTGCAAGCAGGATACCTTACTCAAAATCAGCCAAATACTGAAAAAAGCCAGTAAATGACCATACCCAAGCATTTTGCTTCTTTTTAACAATCTGTATATTTACATTATATTACCATCTTGAAAACATTTTTGAAGAACTACACTCAGGAAAAATATATACTGCAAGAGACAGAACGAGGCTGTAGCCAATGCTAAACTTTCCATGTATTAGGGACAGTAAAAATTCCTATCTAACATGAACTAAAGACAAGGTCTTTAAAAAATCATGGCCTTGTCTCTCCTTACTTTTGTCTTACTGTTGAAATCCAAAGCCTGATCACAAAAATTAGAAAAGAGCAATGATGGATGCAGGCCAGTGGAAAAAGGCACCTAACATTACTTAGCTTCTCCTACTGTGATAAAAAAATTTTGTTAGATTTTGAGGTCAAAAAGTAGTTACTACATTAACCAGACATGTGAAGATAGATTACTTGGTTATATGAAGAATTAGCTTTCTAAAACTGATGAACAATGATAACGTGAGTATAACCGTTATCAAAACTGAAGACATAGATTGAAATCACAGAAGCAGATATTTGTATGAACTAAAAAGAGTAGAAATGGCCTTCATCCAGGAAAAGGTATTTTGAAACTATACAAGGTACTGTTTTGACATGAATCTGAAACAAATATTCCATTGAGACACGCAGTCTGAAAGTAAAAATTTCTTTCCAAATAGAGCTATTTCTGCAACAGCATGTTAATATATTAAATTATAAATGTATGTATATATGCAGGAGAAATATTTACAGGTGTTCAAGGAGAGCTGGTACAACACCGGACAAATGCATGTTCAACTGATATAAAACATTGATTTCCACTAGGTAATTGTAGACTAAGCCAGTACTGTTTTGAAACCATTCAATTCTCTTAGTGATGCTTCCTGAAAATACTTTAAATATGTTTCTGAACCATGATCTTACTGGACATAAACAAAACCTTATTGTGATTCCACGATTCAGCTTTCAGATATTATTATTTCTTAATGAATCACAAACTTCAATACTACTGTATTCCTTTCCATAAAAACAGACCTCCCTTTGAACACATTGTAAGAAAATAAAGGAGGTTTGGGGGGATTTCTGCCTTATGTCTTCTAGAATATTACAAAATCATGATATAAAACAAAAAAACGAGCTACTTTCTCCAGGCTGAAATTGAATGAATAAAAATAAAAATGCTTACACTCAAAATAGTTTTAAACATTAGCAAATACAAACACTGTGAACTTTCTACAGACCTACCATTCTGGTATGACTGTACTTAAGACCATCATCGTGGACAAGGAGGACAGGCAACAGAAAAATAAACTCATGTTTGGAAGTTCTGCTAGTTCAGCTAAGCAGGTGATAGTGCTATCAGGAAAATTTTGCAAACAGCTCCCACCAGAAGAACTGAGGAATCAGAATTTAAAGAAAGCTCCCATTATAGAATATTTTTATGACAGGAAAAAGGAAAAAGGAAAAAGGAAAAAGAACAAGGAAAAGAAAAGAAAAAACACCCAAACAACCCCCTTTTTAAAATACTACAAACCCTATTAGTCTTGGCTGCCTAACTGGTGAGATTCACTGAGAATGACTTAAACTCTAGCTATAAACATTTAAATCCCATCTACATGCCATAAAAACATGAGATGTATTTTCAAGAAACTTGCTGCTTATGATACCAAGCTGTACCACCACTTCCACACAGAAACATTTACTGGCATTTTTTTCATACTGAACATGTCTTCATTTCTCACCCAACGAAGCTGTCATACCCTAATCAATGTCTATCCTCATACACATTTACGTGTACATCAGAACACTGCAGATGTCTACTCTGACTCTTTAAGAACAGTTTTTTCATAAATTATCCCTTGCACCATAGTAATAAAATCCAGAAATGTATCAAGTTTGGCTTTTGATTAAAGAAAACTTTGTGTCCAAATCATAAGACTTGAAACCATACGAAACTGAATCTACTTATTCCATATCTTCTGTTCCTTTTCTGTTCGCTATGCCTCGTATTTTTTTCTGCTTAAATATCTCTCCTTTCTTTACTGCTTCATCTCTTCTATTACTGCTTCTACCAGGAAATGTTGAAAACAAAATTTAATTGTGCAATAATATTTCATAACTTTGACCAAGCAATGGATATGTTTAAGCATGAAACACTGTTTATAGATGAAAAAAAAAAAAAAAAGTGTTCTTGCCAGTGTCTTACACAATAACGATTAAAGAGCAAAAAGAAAAAAGAAAAAAAAAAAACAAAAAACAAAAAACAACAGACTATAGTCTATGTTGTTTGGCTGCTTCCCACACAGCAAAGCCATTAAGCAGAGGAGCACGTACTTTGATTAATATTCACAGAATACAAGCCAACAGTTCAATGCATCAATCATATATATTCAGTAGTAGCAATAAGATATATGCATACACAAAAGCAGTAAGACAATTAATCAATTACAAACAACACACCAAAATACACATAAGTTACGTTCATTTATGAAGAAAATACAGAGTATGCTGCAGATGAATGTTGTGTTTTGGTAACACACAAAGAACATATAATGCCTGCCAACTACAATCAGAGCTAAAGGAAGTAACACCCAGTCTTCAAAGACATTACTTAACCAGGGCATTTCATCTAAATGTAGAGCAATATTTAATGGAAGAATAGTTGTTTCTTTTTCACAAACTTAAGAACATCTTATTTCAAGGACCAGTGATCTGGCATTACACAGTGTGTTAAAAAAACTTATTTGACACAAAGTTGCAGTGTAAATGCATTCTTATCTAAGGTAGTATATATTCAATGTTGTAATAACTGTAAACACCAGTTTTAGATGACACTCCAGTCTGTGTGAAAAGACACATTGAATACAAGACTACAAGGTATGAATATTGTTAAATGTATTTTTTGCATGCCTTATTTTTTCTTAACAACCAGTTGATTTTGTATGACTGTTTATTTACTGACAGTAATTCATCAATTACAAAATATGTACACAACTGGTTTGGATTAAGGGAATTACGTGATAAATTCCCAAGCGTATATCCAACAAGATGAAGCAACTAGCTTACTGGAAATAGATTCATCATTCTGGCAGAGAAGATCTACAATCAGTAGTTTCTCATAGCTCAAGGCTCTGTCAAAATGTATTGGACAAAATCCTGTTCTGACAAAAAAAAAAAAAATCAAAACTTTAATTTAGTAATATTCTTGTTTATTAAGTTAAGTAAAATGATTCTTTCTATCCTATTCTTTTCACCACAAACTTCATTTGGTTTGCATTGGATTGATTTAACTGGACCAGTATCTAGCTTTCTCTTTTTAACTACTGTATATTTCTAGTGTTTTATTAACAATAAATGGTGAAACCAGAGTCCATCAGCCACAAAACTTCTAATTACCCAATTCAGCCAAAAATGTCTTGTAGGCATTGTTGTGGTTCTTTCACAGAAAGCTGTGAGGAGTAGACTTTTTTCCTTTCCATTGAAAGATATGAAAGAATGGAATATGGGAACGTAGAAGCCTGCTGTTAATAACACCCAATCCTTGACAATAAGTATAGAGCTCATAAACATGGCTAAAAAGACTATTTTAATGTAATACTTTTCAGTCATGTATCTTGTATGTAAAAAGTATGTGTTACAAATGTCTTAAAGTACCTGACATCCTTTGCTAAATAAAGAAATTTTCAAAATACAAACATTCTGAAAGCTATCAAAACAATCTTTAACACCAATTCTCCAACAGATTATTTACCAGATCAGGCCTTGATCCTGCAAAGACACAAGAGTTTCAGCTCACTTAAATCCAGGAATAAATCCTTATGGGATCAGACATCCCAAATCCTTTCATAAAAGAAAACATGAAGAGCCTGCAACTGGCACAAACTAAGTAACTAACAACTGAAAACAGCTTCGACCAGGAAGGACATCAACAAAGATGTAGGACAAAGTGAAAACCACATGGAGATAAAAAGAAACAAAACGTTATCTCTGTGACAACAAAAAAGCACCGAATTGACAAAAAGTAGGCGAGGCCTCTCTCCTGTCTGGCCATGTAAGTTGTTGTTTGGAAAAAGAGTAGAGACCTGAATGAAGCGTGCCCAAGACAGTGGCCTGAGATTGACTTGGGAGTTGTGTTGGGGTCTGTGATAACTGAGGACAGAAGCTGTATCCAGAATGCATTTAGCAGGAGGCTGCCACAAGGGCCAGTGGGAGTTTATTTTGCCAGTCAAGCCAAAGAAAGCTCAGCAGTGATCTAAGTCACAACTGCACATGAGACTGGAGGTGAAGGATGACCCGCTACCTACAGCAGCATGGCGGCTGCAAACATCAGCTCCAAAGCTGCCAACCAAACTTGCAAATCAGTTCTTAATTTTCACAGTCTATTTTATTCATTTACGTCTGTAGTTTGGTTTATTTAAAAACCTATCTGAAAAATGCCTAGAATACATCAAAACTGCATGCGTGGGTGACTTGAAGGTGGCAGCTTGAGTCAGTAGAACATAGTACTTGGCTTGAAGATGTAACACTTACAATTCATGAGAGAAAGTATAAATATACTCTCAGAATTCACTAGCAGTTTAATGATCACAGCTTTTGTATGGTAAGATGAAATCGTTGGGTAATTTAGAAAACATGATTTATTTTCAAAGTAAGTAATCCTCTTGTAGATGGAGAAAGATTAAAAATTGGTATCCCAGCAGACAGTTGCAT